GGGCTGAAATGTTGTGTTTGCTTTCTGTTCCAGTTTTTGGCACTGCGTAAACACCTGGCGAGCTGAATCAAGCCAGTTCTTGTAGGACAGGGTCTCCCCTTGCAGCAGGACTCCAGCATCCCTTGCCCATCAGCCATGTTCGTAGGATGCCTCATCTCGGGCACCTGGAGTTTATTAGTCACTGTGAAAGTCTTTAGGTTGATGGCCTTGTGTGGCTTTCCCTCTCTCTCACTTGGTGCATATCCTCTGTATTCATCACCATGACAACTGTGTGCCCTTTTGCTATACCGTTACACATTTCTGTGAGTTTCCGTGGTGAGGGGCAGGCACGTATTGAACGCTACTAACAACAGGATGGGATGTTCTAGGAACGGGACAGGATGATCTCTGGTCAAATATTTGCTACTTCTATGAACTTACTGTAATTCTTCAAGACTTCCACCAGTTCTTTAATCCTTTCATGTACCTTCCTTGGAGTTGCTTATTAAGGGGTCTTTACGAATGGAGGAAGGTCTTAGAGGGATGATTTTCACAGTACTGGTACAAAAAAAGACAGCAGACAAGGAAGGCATTTGAAAGCATCTGGAAAGGGCCACAGCTTTACTGATTAGTTCAGCAGTAGATGGGAGAACCTGTGTGTGTCTCAGCCTTGAGCTGCCTCCCCGACCTTTCATTGCTGCTGCCCTCGTCTGCACTTGGCTTTGGGTTCTTTTGTAGAATCTGGCACCTCACAGGAGCTGCTCCAGCAGTAATGTACCCATTGCCAGTGCCTTTGGTAAGGCACCACTTTGGAAGTGGTAATGGGCTGAGTTCGCAGTCACAGCAAGTTACCTCTCAGTACAGAGGGGAGGGAAAGGAGGTTGGGGTTAAGATCAAATGGAGAGTCTCAAGTTGCTGTTGTCTCCTCTGTGCCTGCCTCGTAGATAACCCAAATAATTCAGTTCCAAGGGCTGGCCATCAGTTGACTTCTACTTAACCTTTGCCAGCTCGATAATTAACATCACTTCCATTCCCCCTCCTTCCCAAAGTAAATACATTAAAAGCAAAAAAAACCAGGAACCTGGTCTCATGAGACAGGATTTGTGTCACACAGGGCAGTCTTTCACAATCCCATCCATAAAGGAGATGAAGTCCTACACTGAATCTCCATCACATTAATGAATTTAGCACTTGCCCTGAGACAGTGGTATGGCTCTTTACTCCTTGAGATGTGCTATATACACATTTAATTCAGTTTCTTCTGATTAACTCCTTTGGGGTTTGTGTCTGTTCCTGGGACATACGTTTGGACAGGCCTGTGTGTAACCCTTCTGAAAAGGGTCAGGGACAACTGAAATAGCTCATTCAATTTAAGATGTCAAAATAAGCCTCTCCCAATTTGCTGAGGAATGTCAGATTGCATGAGGTGTTTTTCTGTTCTTATTTATAGAGAAAAATAGCCAATAATAGTTATTAGGCATTAATAGAATTAAGTCTCCATGTAAACATATTTAATCCTGATCTGGCTTAGGATGAACCACTGTGGAATGGATTAAATCCAACCACATGAAAACATTCCTAATATGGAAAAATTTGGTAATTCAAAACAACTATTACTGCTAGAATTCACATCTCATTTTTCCCCCCCAGTTCTTTGTCTGCATAAGAGGACCTTTCTTTTCCTTTACTTGTATGTATTCTAACAATATTGAGTAGTCCTGACTAAGACTAGATCCCTGCTGTGTTAGGCGTAGTGCTCCCTTGGTTGAGGGTGGATGTCCTGAAGAAGGGGCAGTCTCCATGGGGTTATGCAGGGGTGAAATGGTTTCCTCATTGTGACGGAGTAGTTCAGTGGGTGAACAAGCACCAAGATTCTGGTCTCCAAAGTGCCATAATCTCACAGTGTCAGGTGGGACATGAAGGTCTGCTTGGTTACGCATTTCAGAGTGAAAAAGAAAATAGCAAACACCTGTGAACACATCCAAGTTTTATGGGAGAGCCGAGGGGAGAGTGGGTGCAGGGCTTTGCATCAGCCCGCCTTTGCTTCCTTGGAAATACAGCTCCACCAAGGTAGATCAGTCCTGAATTCTTGACTCCCAGCTAACCCCTGGATTTCCGAGTCCCTGGGCATTTTCTGTGCTAATTCAGTGTGCAGCAGGCTTGCTTCTTCAAAGGAGCTGCCCATAATTATTCCAGGGTATAGCATATTCTGTCCTATGCAGAGAAAGAGGAAAGGATTTAATGAAGAGCTCTGGCAGGCTCCTGCTTGCATCCTACAAGACACTGAAGGAAAATCTCCTGCTGGGGAGGTGACAGAAGGGCTTTGGGAGCGTGTCTTCTCCACTGCATGTGCATAAAGTGGGGAGAAAGCCCACGGCTCTGAGTGGTTACTGGGTCCTTGGTCTCACTTGGCTGGAGCAGATCTACATTGCACATCTGACGGTGTTCGTCACCTCGGCTGCCCGTCCCCGCGGCAGGGAAACATTCAGCTTCCCCCAAAGCATTGGTCCCAAGCTGAGGCACAGCAGTGCTTGGGCTCAGACCCCTGTGCCAGTGGGCTCAGCTCATCTGAGTCATGTCTGGCCAAGTGGTTCTGGGGTGAAGCCTCCAGCGGAGAAAAGCAGAGTAATTTCCTGGCTTTCAGAAGGGCCCACTTGAGGAGTGTGAGGTACAGGCAGTGTCAAATTAGCGAAGTCTTGGCTTTTCTTCTGCGGAAGGCAGCGGGAGCAGTCATGGGTAATTATATTGTGTGCAGGGAGATAACCTCTGGCTGGAGAAGTTTTGAACTGAGAGGAGAGAAGGGAGAAATGAAAGAACAAGAGTAGACTGGGGAAAAAAAGGGAGATGATGGTAATTTTCAGTGAAGGGCAAGTGTTTGGAGAAGAATCAAAAACTGGTCCTGTGGTCTTTGTCGTTGTTGCTCTGGTCTTTACAAACAGCTGGCAGGACAGAAGTTGCCAAAGTTACCTCGTGCCTCTCCAGACCACGCATTCAGCGCTGCACCGGACACGGGAGCGCTGCGAGCCCCTGCCAGGCTGCAGGCAGCTGCCTGCCTTGCAGCATCCCCGGCTGCCTGCGGCACCACCTGCCAGGCACAGGCTGGCTGGGGGAGAGGAGGGTGCTCAAGCTGTGAAAGAGGGGCATGGCCACACAGCAGGGAAACACGGGGTAGAGGATGTTTTCCCCACCCCAGATGTTTTCAGGGACCCAGCCACTCTGGCCTGGCATGGCACAGGGCAGAGCAGCCCAGCCAGCCAGGGAGACCGGCAGAGGAACCGGCCGTCTTCTCTGAGACACATCTTGGGGACACGTCCTTGCAGCTGGTTGCTTTCAGCATTGCGTCATCTGCCAGAGGTGCCACGTGGCCCTCCAGGGAAAGAAAAGGCACAAACAAAACAACACAACCCACCTTCCAAATCTTCATTTAGAGACCGTGGCTTCAATTAAATGTAATTACTTTCATTTTGAATTAAGGGCAACTTCTCTTGCATTTATTTGCTGTCCCCAGTGGCTTGTTCAAGAGAGAGAGAGTTGCTCCATGAGGGTAGGCGCTAATGAAGGGGAGCTTCCAAATGAGTGTATGTGTTGCAGCATCTAGGTCAGATGAAAGTATCTTCCATGTTTCTCTGGTTTTGTGGGTTTTTTTTTAACTGGACTTCTAATAAACATGTTAACTTTCCAAATTATCATAAGCAGCTGCACAAGGATATATTTACTGCATTTGAAAGCTCTCTAATGAAGCTTTGAAGTCCAGCCTATCCTAGATTCATGCAGGGAAGGAGCTGTAGCCATCATGGCACTCCTCTGCTGACTTCTAAAGATGTGAGACTTGAAAGCAACTATTTCTTTGCAAATATGGGCAGGCGTGAGAAGCCTTTTTATAAAAAGTAAATAGATACTGAAATACAGATACTCAAACAGATACTTCAAAACCTACATCTGACTGTCACAGAGAAAACTGCGTATTGCAGGGGCTTTCTTTTACTTTTCTTACCAATACTATCCCTACACAGTCCATATTTGCATTTAATCACGTGCTGCTTTTCACTTCAGTATCGTCATCCAGAGAACCAGAGTTTCCCTATCCTGCCTCAGTCCCACATTCAAGAAAACTGGATGAATCTTAAAAAAAAAAAAAATATTTCATATGAGTAACATGCATAAAATCAAGCAGAAGTTTCTTACTCTGTGGATCCTTTCACAGTTTGAGGCACCGATTCCTTTTTCTATAGAGGCCTGAGAGATGCTGCAGGGTGAAATAACTGCAGCATTAAATGGCATGGCATCACAAAACGGTGGCTATTGCTGGGTTTTATAATCATACACCCCTGTTACAGTGCTTCTTCGTGGTCCTCCCAGTACACCCACACATATTAGACATATAAACTCTCCAGGAAACGCTTGTGTTGCTGTGTGAAGCCACACAACACGGCACATGGGGAACCTAATTGCACCCTCCAGCCACTGTTATAAAACTAGCAGTAAGCAGAGCTAAAAAGTATTGAGCACATTTGGATTTTCCAGGCTCTGGGAGGGTATGTACATTGAGTTAAACTTACAGCTGTGTAGTCTCCACTGAATTACTATTTCCTTTTGATCTGTACTAAAGACAGTGACAGAGCAGGTATGAGCGTGAGTAATGGGTAGGTAGGTATCACGGTATTTCAGTTCTTGCTCACTTTATTTCTTCTCTTTATTCAGTTTCTTTCCTTCTCTTGGTGTCAGGATATTTTTAGTTCTTCAATGCTCTCTCTTCTGCATCAAACATAAAGGTGAAACACACTTTTAATCTACACTTTTAAGACAGTGTGTGTGTCTATATGTCTATATATATCTATGCAGTGACATATATCTGAGGTTACTATGTCTTGATTAGCTCCATTTGAATTCACCACAAGAAATTAAGATAGAAAGGAAGGAGAAATGGCTGTTCTCTCAATACTGTTTCCCATCTCCCGGTAACATTTACCATACGCAATGTCCTTTGGGTACTGACTCTGTTGTGGGTTTATCCCCCATAGATCATCTTCCGCAAGATCAGCGATGTCAAGAAGGAAGAAGAGGAGCGCCTGCGCCAGAAGAACGAGGTGACGCTGAGCATCCCTGTGGACCACCCCGTACGGAAACTCTTCCAGAAATTCAAACAGCAAAAAGAAATGCGTAATCAAGGCTCAGCTCACATCGACCCGGAAAGGAACCAGCTTCAGGTGGAAAGCCGGAGTGTGCAGAACGGGGCCTCCATCACAGGCACCAGCGTGGTCACCGTGTCTCAGATCACCCCCATCCAGACATCCCTGGCTTACATGAAAACTAGTGAGGCCGTGAAGCAGAACAACAGGGATGCGATGGAGCTCAAGCCAAATGGAAACGGAGACCAAAAATGTCTGAAAGTAAACAGTCCCATGCGGATGAAAAACGGGAACGGGAAAGGGTGGCTTCGACTGAAGAACACGATGGGGACCCACGAGGAGAAGAAGGAGGACTGGAACAACGTCACGAAGGCTGAGTCCATGGGGTTACTGTCCGATGACCCCAAGTGCAATGACTCAGAGAACGGTGTAAATAAAAACCCACTGAGGAAAACAGACTCTTGTGACAGTGGAATAACAAAAAGTGACCTTCGCTTGGACAAAGCTGGTGAGACTCGCAGCCCCCTGGAGCACAGCCCCATTCAGGCTGATGCTAGGCATCCTTTCTACCCTATTCCTGAGCAGGCCTTACAAACCACGCTGCAGGAAGTCAAGCACGAACTCAAAGAAGATATCCAGCTGCTAAGCAGTAGGATGGCTGCCCTTGAAAAGCAGGTGGCAGAAATTTTAAAAATATTGTCCGAAAAGAACGTACCCCAGACCACTTCCCCCACGTCTCATTTATCACCCCAGCGGCCCCCCCAAATACCCTGTCAGGATATTTTTAGTGTTTCAAGGCCTGCATCACCTGAATCAGAAAAAGATGAAATCCACTTTTAGCATATACCTATGTGTATATATGTATACAGTATATATGCAGAGGTGTATATATACCTTTATACATATATATGTGTGTGTGTATACGGTAAATATATATACATATATATTTTCACTTGCATCCAATATGACTTGAACACACCAATGGTTTTGATATGTAAATATTGCATGTCCAGCTGGATTCTGGCCTGCCAAAGAAAACAATTATTAACATAGATATTGCTTGTATAATATGCAGTTGACTGCATGCACACTTTACATTTATTTATAATCTCTATTATGTAATAAAAGAATGACTTTTGTTTAACAAAGGCAATGTACTATTTAACGAATCAGGGTCTAACCTGCCAATATTGCCATGACAGTTTTGATCTCAGGCTGGGTGAATTGAGCTTTTATTTCCTCACTGTCTTTTCTGCCGAGTTAAACAGTAGATTAACGTGACCACGTGGAGGACACGTTCAGACCCCAGTTAGTGTTGTTTCCTGGTATCATCCCATTACAATATACTGTATATTCGGTGATTAATTCCCCTACTCCTCCTAAAGGGAGGGCTCAGCTCAGTGGCCAGGGAAGGGCACCGTGTCCAGTGCTGGGGTGGATCACTGGAATTTGTTCATGTGGGTATTGTGCATGCACAGCCTTTTATTTCAAGTATCCTCCTGCTCTTTTAACATTGTAAGTAAGAAATAATAATGGTGATTTATGTAACAAAATGAAACTAACAGAAACTCTCTCAGCTGCACTCCCTGTGTGTTTGGGGGTAACTTCTTTCTTGAAAGCCTCCTTTTACTGATGCCATTTTTACCGAACTGTTAGAGTAACACTATGTAGATTCTCTTTGCAGCACTCAGCGATGGTGTCCGGTTCTGTCAGTATCTTCATTAGGATGTCCCATTTTTGCAGGGTTGAGGTTGCTCTCCCTCTGTCCCCCCCATTGCCCCTGGCAGAAAGACTTTGCACGAGGTCTGAGCAAGGGAGAGAACAATCATAGTTCAGCTCCTCAGGAGCCGTGTGAGCAGGTTTGAAAGCCTGACATTAAAAGGCTGCAGTTTAATCCCCCTCCACTTTCTTTTCTGAGGACATTTATCAGCCTGCAACTGCCTTTGAGAAGGAGAGAAAATAACTGGTCAGGATGAAATTCCCTTTAGTCCAAGGCACCTGGATGATAATGTTTGGGTGGGAGAGTGGTGGGTGTGTTGGGGAGATGAAGTCCTCCCTAGGGTGCTGCCCACCGCTCTTGCCTTGGACTCATGCAAGGTTTGAGTGCGGGGTGGGCATGCTGCAAGAGCAGGCTTGCAGTGCCCGCGCAGCCAGTCGTCACATGTACTAAGTCCCTTGGGTCTGTGTCAGATGCTCCGACTGTCCTCTTAGCTGGCTCCCATCAGCATCTTGAACCGTGCTCAGACCGCATCTCCACCTCCTAGGCTGGCATTGCCTCCACGTGGCCCTGCTGGCTTGGCAGGGCTGCGGCAGGACAGGCTCTTGCACTGGATCCTGTTTGTTCTCCTTTTTAGAGCAGAGGTTTTGAACATTGCCTGGGTCTGCACCTGAGTGTGGTGGGGTTTTTCTTCCTGTCTGTTTGTACTGGTTTTGAATCCAGATACACATGATGGACAGCAGAAATGGCCATCGCAGCTTCAGAGCTGTTAACCGGTACAGCTTGAGGCCAGCCCAGCAAACTGCAATGGCTCCTTCAGAGGATTTCCCCTCCACACCTCCTGCATCAAGATCCCATGTTTTCAGAAGTGCCTGGAGTAAAACATATATGTACCACAAGGCATCACTATCAATCAGGTAAATAAAAGAAATGTTTTTAATTAGTGGGCATCCTTACCAGACACCAATACCAGATCCATTGCTTAACATCAGGAACCTAAACTAAACTAAATTGCTTCCTGAAAAAATAAAAAAAAAAAAACCAAACCAAAACATCATTTGCAGTAGTGGCCATTAGGAACCTTCATCTTAGGGTGAACATATCTTCTGTGAAATCCAAACCCATAAACCCCCAAAAGTTCATAAGAAAGCCAAAGAAGTCATTGCTTCTGTTGTGTCAATTCATAGAAGCTTTTGGGGAGATGATGGTCATTCTCATTTGCTGTTCCTTTCTGACCTGTTTCTGACCCTTCTCCAGTTCCTTTCTTTAGGAAATTATAGACAAAAAAAAAAAAAAAAGAAGCATAAAAAGCCACTGAAAGGGACAACTCTTCCTGAAGCCTGGTGGTTAGGCTGCCTGCTCATTATAGTTTTTCACAGCTGCAGTTGCCGCTGTCAAACTTTCAGCTGTATTTTGCAGCTGCTGTCCTGACACGAGTGCAAATCTGTAACTCTGCAACCATGCTTTGGTCTGCAAGGACAAACTACACTTGCAAAACAGCAGGGCCTTCAAGGTCCTACTCTAAATCCTATCCTGGGACTCTGAAAGAATCAGGAGGGTTATAGGGTTAGGGAGTTACAGGGTTGCTGCAGGCTGCTGGAGTATGTACAGACCTTGTGGGTACAATTTAAGTGCCAAGCTTTGAAGATTTGAATGTTCTTGCCTGACTTGGATTGCTGGGTAAGACAGAAAAACAGCAACTGCCCAGAGCTGCCCAGTGAATAGCTGAGTCACGCAGGCTGTCTGGGGACCAGATTTTGGTAAAGTTCCTTGAATGCATGAATCTGCCATGATGTGATGCTGCAAAAGAGCAAGCAGGGTAATGTGGGTGACTTTGTTAGAAAGCTTTAGCCTTAATGGCATTCCTCTGCCTTTGTGAAGGACTTCTTTTCTTTCTCCGTAACTGATATTAATTCTAGATAGAACTGCATGGCATGCAAAGGGATCTGTATTTAGGTTTATCTTGCAAGTCAGGTGTAACTTTGTGCCACTTTACAATGAGAGAACATGTAACAGGATTAATCTGAACTTGAAAATTATTTGAGCCCAGAATGTCTATTACAGTTCAAGTGCAACTCAACTCGTTAAAATGTGTAGTGGCTAAAAGCTATAAATAGTGTAAAATACCAAGTTCATGAAACAAATACGGTGTTCCCGGGTCCACAATGCTGCTTTGACTCTGATATTCCAATATTGTCCATTGCAAGTTCAGTGGAACCAGCTTGTACCTTGTATGAGGCAGTAGCGCTATGAGTGTCTTGCAGACATGATAAATGCTGCCTGCAGATGGGCTATCCCAGGCTCCGTGCAGCCAGAGGCCCAATTTGCGGGATTGACTCTAGTGGCTATTGCTCTGAAAATTTGGTTTGTACAATTCTGAAGCACTTTGCCTCCAAAATGTCATGATCGGAGCATTACGTGTTGTTTCATGGAGTTGTTACCAGGGCACTGGTTCAGTTTTCCCATCCCCTCATGTTTATGCATGATGCGAGCCAGCGTGCTGCCGACTGGGGCATTCCTTTTCTGTTAAAGAAGCATGAATCATAGTCTTGTAGTTCAGGCTTGACTGAAAACAAGCACCTATAGTCATTAAGTGCAATACGGACACAAACATCTCTCTCCCAGCTAAGCCAGTGCTCAGGCGGCTACCTGCCGCGTGGAGGGAGCTCTCGGCTGCATGCGTTCCTTTAAGAGCTGTGTACCTGTACAGATGTTCCTGCCACATGCTGCTAAGAGCATTCTTAGCACTTACTTTGTGCTTCGGGTGTTCAAAGCATTTTACCTGTACACAAGTGGATTTTATCTTTCTGGACTTTGGAATAGAAATGAAATGTGTACAGAAAAGTAAACACTTTCCAAAGCAAACCAACTAGAGTACCTTTAATAGCATTTTTGTGTAATGTTACATACACGAGATAGAACAGCACTTCAGAATAATAAGTGGAAAAAATTAGTTGTTGTAGTGAAGATTCAGTTCTTCTGAATTTGTATATGTAAATCCTTTTTTCCATCTTTCTGTCTTTGCCAGGGGACAGGGGTTAGAGCAGAGCTGACTCTGGAAGTGACAAACTTAAGCTTTGCCCGTTTTTCTTTCCCCTGTTCTGGAGAAGTAGAACAACCATAGGGACTCTGTGCAGCTGGCACTGAAGTTTGGGCTCATTGCTAGATTCAAATTCAATCTTCATTTACCGCCACATGGAAAGCAACCCTGTTACACAGGTGTGAACTGAAGGTTGAATCTGATGATCATATTGGACCTTAAAGTGTATTTTGGATCCCCGAAAATTTTAGAGAACTGGCAGCTGCAGAAATAATGTTGTACTATTTCCAAGCTGTGAGCAGTCACTGGATGTAACTGAGACCCTTATACAGATGTCGTCGTTTGCATGGGTCAGAAAACAGATGTTGTGCTCATGAAATAGCTTGGAGCCTTTTGGGGGAAAAAGACATCCTGAACTGGAAGGGAAAATAAAAAGTCAAAGGTTTAATATGGAATTTGGGAGCGAGGAGGTGGAAGGATATATTATAATGAACTGATGCTTTTCTACTTGGATTTTGAGCATTTAGAAAACACAAACCTGTCTTTTTGGATGTCAGAATTGGATAGACTGTTTGTTAAAATAAACATTTTTTTTCCTAAGTGAGGTGGCATCAGTGATACCTGTTTTTTAAAAAAAAGTGTTCAAATACCATTTTCCTACAGAAGAGTGTTTTAACCGGTTTTGTTATCGTTATTTTTAATAGGCTGTATGTAAAGGCTTTTTTCAGTTCCTTTTTTGTATGTGTGTTAACACATATCTTCAGGTGTATAGGATCTATATTGCTTTATAGTCTTGCTGCTAACATACTTGTTAGAGAGGGTTTGAGAAGTGGGATTCCTTTGGAGAAAGGCATCTCTCCGTGGCAGCCTGGGCTCTGTGACTCTCGCATCC